TCCTCCTCCACCACCACCACCACCAGCTCCACAAAACTCCTACATCCCACCTGCACCACCAGCGCCACCAGCTCCAGTAGCTCCAGTTCATGAGGAAGTGCGCTCGCATCCAATTGCTCCTCCTCCACCACCACCAGCTCCACAAAACACCTACATTCCTCCAGCAGCCGCTCCAGCTCCAGCTCCAGAGCCATCCGCCACCCTTGAGGCTGACGGTTATCACTACAAGACTGTTCGTCGCGTAGTCTACAGACACCGTTTCTAAGCTGTCATCCCTTTCCAATAACTTTTCCCTATGGGAAGTGTACCTGAGTTCGTTCTGATTCTAAATCTAAATAAAAGTTGTTAGTCTGTCATATATAAAACCGCATTTGGTTTGTGTTTTGTTTGGAATCTTTGGTCCTGTCAATGCGAACTAGGTAAACTATTCTCAGTCAAGTGTGCTTAAGTCATAGGTTCCGCATCATATACGTGCTCTTAGATAACTCCCTCATAAACAATATTTGAAGACCGAAAGAAATGAATACCTTTAGTCTGACATTAGCTATATCAAATATTGAAGATGGTTAGTAAGGTTAAGAGATTTCCCTAAAAGGGATATCCTTTGGACAGTTTAGAACACCGGGTCGTTGTAGTGCTTAAAAAATAATATATACTGGATTTTAACAAATCGACAAAACGCTTTAAGACTATCACAAACTTGTTAAGACAGCTGATGTCAATTTCGATCATGTATTCTGGCTGAGACGTTCCAGGCTTAGTCGCCCAAAGGATGGACAATGAAAGAAAAGTGGCTGGACGTTTCCACCTCACCCCCTCTATAAAACTTACCTTATGAATGCCTATTAGCTAGTGTCCAGTAAGGTATCCTATGATTGCGGCAAAATGAACTCTGAAAGAAAATACACTTCTGAGCAGTTCGTCTAGTGCCCCCATAATAGCAGCGCTTTCGGCCTGAAAAACATTACAGAGCTCCGGTACCTTAAAGCTAGGATGGACGGAGGCTCCTTACAGAAAAATCCTCCTCTAACCTTCCATCATTGTTTCGATCCATCCGTGAGAAATCTCACAAGGCTCCTCATCTTCATCCATCCGTGGCAAAGTGTCTTTTAGCGTCGCCTTATTAAGTAACTCTCCCCTAATTCCTATCAGGTGCTATATCAGGTATCGGGTACTATATCTTATACTGCGTAATATTAACATACGGTTTTTTTATGTACACATTTCTGCAGAAACTCTTAAATAATTATATTAAGACTTTCAACAACGTTTATTTAATTCTATCAGGTATTTTTCGTAATAACATCAGTCAAATTTTTGGAGTATGTGTAGCATTTGAAACTTTAGAAACGACGTCTATACACAACACGGCGGACGGTCTTGTAGCGGTAACCATCTTGATCGAGCGATGCTGATGGCGGAATGTACGTATTTTGTGGAACAATCGGTTGGGATTGCACAGCTTCATGGATCGGAGCTGGAGCTGGGTAACTGTAGCCCTGAGACGGTGAAGCTGGAGCGATTGGCTGGGATTGGATGGCTTCGTGGATTGGAGCTGGAGCTGGATAGCTGTAGCCCTGGGCTGGTGCTGGAGCTGGAGCTGGTGCTGGTGCGGCGGGTGGGATGTAAATGTTCTGTGGAACAATCGGTTGAGATTTAACAGCTTCATGAATTGGCGCGGGAGCTGGGTAGCT